AAGCCTACCCACTCAATTTCATAATATGCAGATTTTACTTACAGGAATTTCTATTTTATAATTATACAACTGTATTGTTTCTTCATTAAATTTGGTGTAATGACAGTCACACATAGTTCACACATACATAAAAATACTAAATTTACTTTGCAATAATCCTTTCAAGATTGCTTTTTTTGTTGTTGTTGTTAGGTGCCATCCAGTCGGTTCTGACTCATAGCAACGCTATGCACAACAAAACAAAACACCGCCCAGTCCTGTGCCATCCTCACAATTGTTGTTATGCTTGAGCCCGTTGTTGCAGCCACTGTGTCAGTCTATCTCCTTGAGGGGCTTCCTCTTTTTTGCTGACCCTGCACTTTACCAAGCATGATGTCCTTCTCCAGGGACTGATCCCTCTTGATAACGTGTCCAAAGTATGTAAGACGTAGTCTTGCCATCCTTGCTTCTAAGGAGCATTTTGGTTGTACTTCTTCCAAGACAGATTTGTTCATTCTTTTGGCAGTCCATAGTATATTTACTATGATTCTCCAAAATCACAATTCAAAGGCGTCAATCATTCTTCAGTTTTCCTTATTTGTTGTCCAGCTTTCTCATGCTTATGAGGTGATTGAAAACATGATGGCTTGGGTGAGGCTCACCTTACTCTTCAAGGTGACATCTTTGCTTTTTAACACTTTAAAGAGGTCTTTTGCAGCAAATTTGCCCAATGTAATGCGTCTTTTGATTTCTGGACTACCGCTTCCATGGGCATTGATTGTGGATCCAAGTAAAATGAAATCCTTAACAACTTCAATCTTTTCTCCGTTTATCGTGATGTTGCTTATTGGTCTGGTTGTGAAGATTTTAGTTTCCTTTATGTTGCGATGTACTCCATACTGAAGGCTGTGGTCTTTGATCTTCATCAATAAGTGCTTTAAGCCCTTTTCACTTTCAGCAAGCAAGGTTGTGTCATCTGCATAACACAGGTTGTTGATGAGCCTTCCTCCAATCCTGATGCCCCTTTCTTCTTCATGTAGTCCACCTTCTCAGAATGTCTGCTCAGCGTACAGATTGAGTTAGTATGGTGAAAGGATACAACCCTGACACACACCTTTCCTGACTTTAAACTACACAGTATCCCCTTGTTCTGTTTGAATGACTGCCTCTTGATCTGTGTAGAGGTTCCTTATGAGCACAATTAAGTGTTCTGAAATTTCCATTCTTTGCAATGTTATCCATAATTTTTTATGATCCACACAGTCAAATGCCTTTGCATAGTCAAGAAAACACAGGTAGACATCTTTCTGGTATTCTCTGCTTTCAGCCAAGGTCTATCTGACATCAACAGTGATATCCCTTGTTCCATGTCCTCTTCTGAATCTGGCTTGAATTTCTGGCAGTTCCCTGTTGATATACTGCTGCAGCTGCTTTTGAATGATCTTCAGCAGTATTTTACTTGCATGTGATATTAATGATATTGTTCAATAATTTCTGCATTTGATTGGATCACCTTTCTTTGGAATAGGAATATTCCAAAGTCAGTTGGCAAGGTAGCTGTCTTCCAGATTTCTTGGCATAGATGAGTGAGCACTTCCAGTGCTGCATTCATTCGTTGAAACATCTCAATTGATGTTCTGTCAGTGCTGCATCCATTTGTTGAAACATCTCAACTGGTATTCTGTCAATTCCTGGATCTTTGTTTTTTGCCAATGCCTTCATTGCAGCTTGGACTTCTTCTTTCAGTACCATCAGTTCCTGAAAAGGTTGAATGCCAACCAATTCTTTTTGGTACAGTGACTCTGTATATTCCTTCCATCTTCTTTTGATGCTTCCTGCATCATTTAATATTTTCCCCAAGAATCCTTCAATATTGCATCTTGAGGCTTGAATTTTCTCTTCAGTTATTTCAGCTTGAGAAATGCCAAGCGTGTTCTTCTCTTTTGGTTTTCTAGCCCCAGATATTTGCACGTCATTATAATATTTTAGTTTGTCTTCTTTTGAAATCTTTTGTTCGTCTCGTTTACTTCATCATTTCTTCCTTTCCCTTTAGCTACTTTTTGTTCAAGAGCAAGTTTCAGAGTCTCTTCTGACTTCCATTTTGGTCTCTTCTTTCTTTCCTGTCTTTTTAATGACCTCTTGCTTTTTTCATGTATGATGTCCTTGATGTCATTCTACAGCTCGTCTGGTCTTCAGACATTAGTGTTCAAGACATCAAATCTATTCTTGAGATGGTCTCTAATTTCATTTTGCTTTTTCTGGAGTGGTGTAATATTTATTATGTAGTTTAGCTATAGGTAACTTGTGTGCTCTGGGTGGAGTTACCTGGAATGTCAAACAAATGTTTTCCACAAATGTTATCATCCCACTGAAAAACTATCAGGTGTAATGTAAGCAAAGCAAAAAAAACTATTTGATTAATATGAGGTTTTTATTAGTGTGAAATTTAAAATATTACCCTAATTCACTTGAAAATTAAATGCCACAGTGCTTTATAACGTATATACTTTACGTTTTTCATACTTGATCCTGATGTAAAGCCTGATAGGTAGAAATTTTTATTATTTCTTTTATGCAGTTTAGCAAACTGAGCAGGAGACTTGTCCAAGATCATGTAGCGGTTCATTGGAACAATGTGAATTTAAACCCATTGTTCTAATACCAAATCCAGTTGTTTTTTTTATTACCACACTACTGTGCTACTATGGACACCATGCAGTTTTGTATTTGAAAAGAAACAAATTATGAATAAAAACTACATTACTATATATATGTATATATATGAGTCCTTAAGAGGTACAAATGGTTAAAACTCAGCTACTAACCGAAAGATTGGTGGTTCAAATCAATCCAGAGGCACCTCAGAAGAAAGATCGGGCAGTCTACTTCTGAAGGATCATAGCCAGTAAAAGCATTATGGAGTTCAGTTCTACTCTGAAACACATGGGGTTGCCTTGAGTCAAAATCTTCTCAATGGCAACTGGTTTTATGTGTGTGTGTATACATACGAGGTTAAGTAAAAAAATATTGCTACCAGGGTTCCAGTTAATACATGCATGTTATTCAAAACAAAATGTATTTAAACATGTCTCTGCGATTGGTAGATGGGTATAGACAAGCTCTCTCAGTAATACACTTGTCTTAGTCTTGTTAGGGTGCCTTCAAAAAAAGGGATACTTTTCGTGCCATGGAAAAAAAATGATTTTGAAGTCAGGGCTAATATGAAATTTTTTAACAAAACTCAAGTGGACATCTTCCCAAATCATTGAAGCTTTGCAGCAAGTTTATGGGAATGCTGCCCCATGTAAAACAACAGTGTTTAGAGGAATCAATCTTTTAAGGAAGTTCAGGAAGAACTCAAAGATGAGCCAAGACAGGGAAGACCACTCAGAAGGTTATGGCGACTGGTTTTTGGAATTCCAAAGGGGTAATCTTGGTAGATTTTTTTTTTGAAGGACACAGTGCTTATTATGAAGAAGTTTTAAGAAAATTGAAAACTGCGTTGGTGAGAAAAAGGCCAGGAAAGTTATGCTGAGAAATTTTTTCTATGACGGAAATGCATCTGTTCATTCTTTGAGGGTAGCAGGGCTGTCCTATGAGAATTTTGTTGAGAAACCTTACCCCATCCACTGTACAGCCCTGATCTTGCCCTGATCAGACTTCTTTTGTTCCCAAAACTTAAAGAACATTTCAAAGGAACACGATTTGAGGCCCCTGAGCATGCTAAAACAGCTGTTTTGACGTGGTGTAAATTGAAGAGCGCAGAATTCTTCAGGGAAGGGTTAGAGATGGAAACACCGCCTTCAGAAGTGTATAGAACTAGATGGAGGGTATGTTGAGAAACAATAGCTTCACATTTTGATATTTTTGTTTAATAAAGGTTTCTATGATTTTGTAACAATACCTTTTGACTTATCCTTGTGTATCAAACCAAACCTGTTGCCGTCAACTCAGTTCTGACTCATGGCACCCCTATAGGACAGAGCAGAACTGCCCCATAGGGTTTCCAAGGAACAGCTGGTGGATTCGCACTGCCAATGTTTTTTGGTTAGCAGCTGAGCTCTTAACCACTGTGCTACCAGGGTTCATATATATATATAACACAAATAAATATACACACACATATATATTTTATAACCTTATATTAATAACTAAAGGAGCCCTTGGTGGCACAGTGGTTAAGAGCTCAGCTGCTAACCGACAGGTCTGTGACTCAAACCTACAAGTGGCTCTGCAGGAGAAAGATGTGGCAGTCTGCCTTCGTAAAGATTATAGCTTTGGAAACCCTATGGGGCAGTTCTGCTCTGTCACGGGTTCACTATACATTGGAATTGTCTTGATGGCACACAACAACGACATATTAATAACTGTCAGTGGGAAAGAGCAGATAAGAAGGGGACATGAACAGAAGGAAATAAAGATGAGTGTTCTGGAAAGCAGTTATTGACATATGTATCAACAGTCACCAAGCATGCCCCTATAAAAAAGACCCAGACATCTGTGTAGAGACGAGTATAGTCATTGCAATAGCCTTTTAGAATATCAACCATCGTGTTTTAAAGCTTTGCATATTTTCTCAAAAAGCAATGTAAATGAAATGACTACCCTTTCTTTCCCTGCCATTGATGACCAGGATTGATTTAGCTGATACATGCTATCGCCATGAGTCAGAATCGACTCCATGGCAATAGATGGTGGTGGTGGAGCTGCTGGGTCCATGACTTCTTTCTGCTTTCCCACTTTTTGTATGCCCTTCCTGAAGCTGCATGTCTCATGGAAGAAGATGACCTTCCCAGATAGAAAAGTATAGTGTGAATTTATTTTAATATCTTTGGCTGATATGCTGAAGTTTCCCGTCTTATTACTTAGATACCACATAACAGTAAAGTTTATTTCCTTACATATTAATATACATTGACATTATTTCATTTCAAAAAAAGATTTGAATGTAATTAAATAGGGATTTTTCTGTACTGTTGACTGGTTTTAGATTTCAAGTGTAATATTTTATTCTTTTATAGCACTATCTGACACTCAAGGGAATTTTCTTTTGAATGGAAATTTTGTTGTAAGTATGTCAAAAAAAGAAATCAAAATACAAGGAGCTATTTTTGAATACAGCGGTTCAAACAACTCAATTGAGAGAATTAATAGTACTGATCGACTTGAAGAAGAACTTGTTTTGCAGGTAAATACTCAGTAGCCATTGATAAATTTTAGCTTTAATCATATTAGTAAACTGTGATAGTGAAGTGTTTAGCATTTATTATTAAACATAAAAATGATGTCTTTTAAAATATGTCTTTTGTGTATTAATTGTATATGCCTCTGTATTTTTATTCAGGTTTTGTGTGTAGGTAATTTATATAACCCTGATGTACATTATTCCTTCAATATCCCTATGGAAGAGAAGAGCGAACTGTTTACATGGGATCCGTATGGACCATGGCAAGACTGTACCAAAATGTGTCAAGGTATAGTAGTATTGAATAAAAGACAAAAGTTTGTGCATTTTAATTTGTGTAATTTTAGGTATTTTGAGTCTGGCTGCCTATGGAATCCTCCCCTCTGTCCACACATAGCCACACACAGACACATAAACTTTTCTTGTCTTTTTCTCCTTACTTTTCTCTGCCGTCTATCTTTGTGTTTCTTATACATACCAGCTTCATTTATCTCTACCCTTTTCAATATTCTCCATTACTGCTCCTTTCCCCTCATATTCATTCTCTTTCTCACAGGCACAGATGTTTCTCTAACTTGTATACTGTTTCCCAATGAAACACTGTTCTCTTACCCACTCACCTCCACATGCTCTGTGTTGAGGTATCAAGCATTCTTTCATTCTTTTATTTCCTTTCCCTGACCACAAGGAATTATATTTGTACTGATGATATGAATAACTAGAAAGAGCATAATGGTAAATGGAAAATCAAGGAGATTTACAGCAGGGAAAGAAAATGGAAAGACTAAAGTTTTATGTAATGTGTAATTACAGATACTTAATTGTGTAATCATATATATGTCCAACTCAGTAAGCATTGTTGAGGGACTTCTTTGTTTTGATTATTTAAAAACAACACTGATTGTGCTTTGAAGTTTTAAAGTCTAGTGAATGAAGCAGAGGCATGAGTAGATTATCTTAATTTAAAATTGGGAATCCAACAGGTATGTGCAGAGAAGACCACAGAAGAGGTTGAAGGAGCAATTTGTGAGGACACTGAAGTTAAAGATATACAGAATTTTCTTTAGAATGGAAAAGTAGTTCCCATGGGGAATAGTGGAATGGTTTGGCAATTAGATCAGCTGTGGTCAGAGAGGAAGCTCAGAGCCCTGTGGAGATAAGCTTATGAGAGAAGGTAGGTGGCCAAAGGCAAGGACCACACGTGATGAATGTGAAGGACAGTGTAACAAACTGAACTCAGTGTTCCAAAGAAACTGTGGTGTCCCATGCAGGAAAAGGCACAGACTTGGGCCCATGTGTCAGGGTGGTAGCACCCAGGATGGTTACCTAGGAGCAGGTGCTCCTGTCACTATTTTGGCACTGTCTCAGTAGAGGGAGACTGTAGTAGATGACGCAAGGAAGACTGGGAGAAACGCTTGAGGTAGGAAAAATCAACTGTGGTAATACAGAAGGAGAGGGAGCTAAGAGAATACAAAGCAAATCAATGGGTGAATGAAGGAACAATAAAGAAGTAAAGAGTAACAAGACCAAAATGGAAGTTTAGAAAAGACAGGGTGAGATGACCAGGAGAGGTTTCTTAAACAATCGTGTGCAGGGGAACGAGAACTATTATATTAATTCTATTGCTGTATAAAATCAAAAACCAAAACTGTTGCTGTCGAGTAAATTCTGACTCATAGTGACCCTATAGGACAGAGTAGAACTGCCCCACAGGGTTTCTAAGGAGCAGCTGGTGGATTCAGACTGCCAAACTCTTGGTTAGCAGCTGAGCTCTTAACCACTGCACTACCAGGGCTCCACCATATAGTATAGTTTGATTATATTCCCTTTCGTGTGGAATTTTTGTTTTCTCTAAAGTTTAAATTCCTTCAGTTTTGTTTGTTTACTTGTTTTTCTGTGTACCTAAAGATATTAGTCTTCAAATTTTTTGTCAGAACTATATATTTTGCCTTAATATTTTCAAGCATATTATTTAATCTATCAATTTCATTTTTCTTGGAAACATTGCTACTGTAGTCGTCTTTTCTCTTACTCCAATTTGTTCATGTTGCTTTCTGGGCCTGTTATATGGTTTTATCTTGAGGTTTCCCTTCATTATCATCCTGGGAATTCTCTTTGCCTTTCTTCTGCATTAGATACCCTGAATTTCTCTTTATGATTTACTCCTCTGCTGGGTGAAACATGTGCTTCAGGACTTCCCTGAGAAAGGAAGGTAGCTTTTTGAAATATTTCACATCTGAAAAATGGCATTATATTCTCACACTTGGTTGATAGTGTAGCTGGTATGAAATTCTAAAGTAGAATTTTGAAAGCTTGTTTTCTGGCTTGTAGAAAGTTCTGATTTCCTGTACTTGTATGTGACATTTTCTATTCTGGTAGTTTTCTGGATCCTCTCTTAAATTCACTGGCCTGAAATGTCTAGCCTGAGTTTGTTTGTTTGTTTGTTTTCATCTACTTTCCTAGGTACTTTGAATGCCATTCCAATTTGGAAACATGGATTTTTTGTTTTGAGAAATTTTATTGCATTATTTCTTCGATAATTTCCTCACATTACTTTTTCTGTTCTATCTTTCTAAAATTTACATTATCTGGATGTTTGCCCTCCTGACCTAATCATTTGTATTCTAATTTCTTCTACTACATTGTTCTCTGAATGTTCCTTTTCATTATATCTTGCTTTTATGTCATAGATGCAATATTTCCTATTATGTCTCTAAGGACATTAACTGTAGCCTTAGAGTTTTCTTCTGCTCCCTAAATTATATGTTTCATCTGAGTTGTATCTTGTTTTTGTTTTTTGGTCTCTTGTGTTAGAGGCTTTCCTAAAATGTCTGCTGATCCTTTGCTGTTTGCTCACATCACATTTAAGAAGTACTAAAATGCTTATGGAAAGTCCTGTGTGGGGCAGGCAAGTCAACTAAAAGCTTTATTGTAGAGTAATTGGATCATGAAGTAGCCCTTTCACATGTCGTTGGGAAAGATGCCCCAAATGTCATTGTTATTGGATATGTTTTCTTGGGCTAAACAGTTCCTGAAGAAAGGAATCCTCCCATTTTCTGATGGGCAGTGAAAGGACAAGGGCACAATATAAACTAGCTTAGAGCCAGAGAGAGCTGGAGAGTGGAGTGGGATGGGATTTCATCACTTACTATGGAGATTTTCACTTTATCCCAATTATTAGTAGTGCTTCCCCAACTTTTCTCAGCTATATCTTATGCTCTCATGTTGAACTTCTCTGGTGCTGTGCTGTCCAGTCCAGTATGGTAGCCACTAACCGTAGGTACCTAGTCCGTTGAAATGTGCTGTAAGTATGAAGTACTCACTGGATTTTGAAGACTTCATATTAAAAAAGAATGTAAAATATATCATTAATAATTTTAATATTGATATCATGTTAAAATGATCATATTTTAGATATTTAGGGCTAAATATAAATGTTGTTAACATTAATTTCACCTGTATCTTTCTACTTTTTTAACATGGCTACTAGTAAATTTAAAATTACCTATATTACTCACATTCTATTTTTTTTGGACGGTGCTGCTCTTGACTAGAAGGTAGGGGTCTAACTGCTCTTCATAAATACTTTTCAACCAATTCTCCATTTTTTCAGGTCTATCCCTCACACATTCACCCCTTCAGAGGAACCTGGTGTTTTCGATTCCTGGGCTTTTCTGGGATACTGTGGCATGAATGGTTTGTTTCTCATTTACTTTCTTCCTCCACAGGCTTAGGTTTCAGCTTCCTTGGCTCTGTCTAGCAGTTACTTCCGTTTACTTTTCATATTCAAAATTTCCTTTTCTTGTGTAATGTTTCCTTTCTTGTTCTCTTTATTCTTTAGGTTTATGCCTTTTAAACAATTCCTTATAGTTATTTCCAAGAGCATTTAGGAAGGAGTAGAGATAAACATGTATGTTTATGTTTAGGTAACTGGAAATACAAAGTTGAAGTTAAATAAAACAGAAATTTGATTATATAACTGGCTGCTTCAACTCTTTCTTGTCTCCCTATTGCTGAAAACATAGGTCCTTTATAACCATTTCTCTTAGTTTGCTTTTCTGTGGTTATGCTGCAAACAAACAACCGCCAAATCTCAGTAGCTTAGAACAACAAAGGTTTATTTCTCACTCATACCATGTTTTGGCAGCTAATTGGCTATGCCTCTGTTCTAGCTTGGGATCTGCATCCCTGGCTTTTTCGTTCATGGTTCCAGGCAGAAAGATCAGCCCCAATCTGAAAAATGCTTTTCTGGTGGCAGAGTGAAAAGGGAAAGAGAACTGGATTAGGTACATCCCCGTATAGTTAGTTGATGTACGTCTATCACATAAAAAAGGCTGATGCCAATGGACAGAGAAGTATATTCCTCCCACAGGAAGTTACCATAACATTGTAGCAAGTGGGGATGTATAATTCTCTTACAGCGAAAGGAGAAGCAAATAATAATGAACAATAATACCAATATAGCATCAGAACTATCCCTGGTCACTCTCTTATCCACCAACAACCACTCCATCTAGCTAGAATGAATTTCCTTATACTCCACTTTTGTCCCACCTTCCTTATGCCTCTTCACTAAGCAAACTCCTCAATCTTACAGAGTTCAGCTCAGACTTATAATTTTATGGAAAGTCATTCCTGACTAGATTAATATGCTAGTGTATTTTGTATACTGTGTCGGAATTGTTTTTGCTTGCTTAGCTGAACTCTTCAGGCTACTAGCAGAATTAAATAATTATGGAACATCTACTTATATGAATTTTTCTTTTTCTTTTTAATTTTCAATTGACTTTGGTCAAGGTCTTCATAGAAGAAAAATTACCTGCATACGTAAGAGTGATCGTATGGTAGTGTCTGATCAAAGATGTGAACACTTATCTCTTCCTTTGTTTGTGACTGAAAAGTGCAATACAGATTGTGAACTAAGGTAAAAGAGAAATAGTGTACAATATTAACTAGTGTATAATATGGTAATATTATAATCAATATGTGAGATGACATGTAAAACATCTTGCACTGTGCCTGTATAGAAGCCTCAACATTTTGTGTAGGAAATGGAAGCAAATTTTTTTCTGTAAAATAAATACAGGTAAACTCTAATCTGAAAACTTGTGGTTTTAAACCACAATCTGAACCAATACATTTTGTAGAATGATTCTGTAATTTCCATTGAAATCATGACCAGATGAACTTCTAAAGTATGAAGATTGTAAGATCAATAAGTTGATATCCCTGATAGCTTATCAGTTTTTTGTCCACTAACATTAAGGAACATGATCCTAGATCATGGCAGGGAAGTGTATACTTCTGACCTAAATTTCTTGTGATTTGTTTTTTTATGATTGGTTTTGGAGTGAAGATAAGAACAATGCCTCATATTTCATTTTTTTGCATTGCAGTTAGTGACATTTGTCTTTCAGAGACCTCCAGAACCTCTTTCATTCAGCAAGAATGAGAATTTCTATGTATTTATTAATGTTGTTTGGGGACAACAGGGCATATAGCAAAAGCCTTGTGGTATAGCTGCCTGTATAAGTCACATCCACTGCACTGCAGTGGAATGAAGCCCAATAAAATCCTTGAGATGCTATTGGGAGAGGAAATGAACTCCCTGAACCCTATGCTTTGTTATACTGGTGCACTCTCATTGATAGATTGCTAGACTGCAGCGGGGTTAATTTGGCTAAAATTTTCTTCTTGGAAACATGTCTAAATTTAGGTTATATAAATTAATGAGAAAAAGTGTGATTTACTTTATAAAAACTAATTTACCAGCTTTTGAAGACTTTATTGATATAGTCAGATTCCCATTCTCTGATCATAAATCAAAGTATGGTAGAAGAGTTGTAGAGACAAAGACCTCTGATTGGGGGTCAGACCTACTCAGGTGTAAATCTGCCTGTATGTGCTTGGATAAAATTCACTTAATTGTTTTTAAAGGTTTCTGGGTAAGCTGGGGGTTCCTTGGATATACTCCAAAGCCGCCACCAAATGCCAGGGTGAGGCAGATAGGTATGATGTTGGCTCACTATCTCTAGTTTTACCAGATCATATCTACTTTTGTATATTCTGGGAGCAAGAAACATTTTATTTGGAGAAAAAAGTGAGGTTTCTGATGGGGGGAAAAAGTCAAGTTTGTATATCACTGGAATGGACAACTTCTCTGGGCCTCATTTTCTTATGTATAAAATGAAAGCTTGGGGCTATATGATTTCTAAGAACTTTTCATTTCTCATTCAGTGACATATCAAATATTCACAGGTGGCTTGTCCATCACTGTTACTTGAGCTAATTGGCACACCTCCTAATAATTCATATTTTTCTAGGTGGCACATTATTGGCAAAAGTGAATGTTCATCCCATTGTGGTCAAGGATATAGGTCCATGGATGTCCACTGCATGAAGTATTCCATTCATGAAGGACAGACTGTTCCAGTAGATGACCACTACTGTGGTGACCAGCTTAAACCTCCTACCCGGGAACACTGCCATGGTGTCTGTGTCTTAACAAGGTGGCATTATTCAGAATGGTCCCAGGTAAAAATAAAAATCATTGCTTAAGGAAAATTGCCCCTTTTTTCTAATTAAATATTTATCCTATTACCTAAAGTATATTTTTGCTAAGAATGTGGCATTTTTTTCCATTTGCTATTTTTGTGTCAACACTTTTTCTTTTTAAATTAGTGTTCCAGAAGTTGTGGAGGAGGTGAAAGGTCTCGAGAATCCTACTGTGTAAATAACTTTGGCCATCGTCTTACTGATAGAGAATGCCAAGAGCTTCCCCGAGTAACAGTAGAGAATTGCAATGAATTTCCCTGTCCCAGTTGGGCTACTAGTGAGTGGAGTGAGGTAACATCAAACACATGAGGCTAAGAACTGCTATAATATTGTGTAGCTAAGCTTTGCAATACTATAAGCTTTATATAATTTAAAAATATATTATCATGTAAATAATTTTATTGTCAAGGCAATAAAAAATTGAAAATGGTTTATACTTAAACTGCTTACAGCATCTGGCTAACAGTAACCTTAAGTGCTGGGTAGTCTATAATCAACCTGAAATATATACTTATCCTAAGATTAGTTTCACTGCAGCTTCTTTTCTAGGGCAAATGGATGTTGCCTGGGGGATGGGAAGCAGAATTTTGGGGTGGCTGATTTTACTTGGTGAATATTTCTGGAGGAATGAGGGAAAATATGCTTAGGAATGGCCTTTCAACTGTATTTTCATGTGCTAATTATTATTATATCATTTTGTAAGGCATTTGTGTTGACTAATACTTAAAATAACAATCCATTGCATTCTTACAGTGCTTTGTTACATGTGGACCAGGAACAAAGCAGCGGCAGGTATGGTGTCAACTGCATGAAGATCGCTTGAGCGATGGCTTCTGTAATCCAAATATCAAACCTGAATCTCTGAGACCATGTGAGCTCCGTAAATGTGCTTCCTGGCAAGTAGGACCATGGGGTTCTGTGAGTATGTGATTTGGGCTTTTTTGATTTAATGTATCTTTTCAGAATAGCACAGAAGTCGTGACACATTCGGTCTTTCTTAGGGGATGCAGCTAACTTTGGGTCAGTTTATTGGGAAAATATCCTTGACATGTGTCTTAGTGATCTAGTGATGCTATAACAGAAATACTACAAGTGAATGGCTTTAACAAACAGACATTTATTTTCTCACAGTTTAGGAGGTTAAGAGTCTGAGTTCAGAGCGCCGGCTCTAGAAAACAGGCTTTCTCTGTTGGTTCTGAAGAAGGGTCCTTGTCTCTTCTGCCTCCTGATTCGTTGGAGATCTCCATGTGTCTTGGCATCTGTTTTACCCCGTCTCTCCTCTGCTTTCTTGCTTGTTTAATCTGTTTTGTATCTCTAAAGAGGTTGACTCAAGACACACCCTACACTAATCCTGCCTCATTAACATAACAAAGATAACCCATTCCCAAATGGGATTATAACCACAGACATAGAGGTTAGAGTTTACAACATATATTTTGGGGGGACGTAAGTCAATCCATAACAACATGTAAACCCTTATTTACAAAAATGTTTCAGGCCTGCTAATTTTGCTAATAAATATTTCAGATTTGCTTTTTAAATCATTTTTGTTAACCAAAATGCTTCAAATTTTATATTTTTATCAGTCTTGTTTAAACTACAAACACTTTCATGTTTTGTGTCTAAATTGATGTTGTTACTGTATTTGGAGTGGGCATTGTTTACAAGTTTTGCCAAAGAAGGCAGCTTGGAGACTGCAAGATGGGCATTGGTCAGGTTGGGTGAGGGCAGATAATTTGTTATCCTGTGGAGGCTGCCACAGTTGATGGGGAAGCTTCTCTCATCTCCCTTTAACGTCATCTTATGTTCTTATTTATTTATCTTTTTGAAATTTACTTAGCATATTGAATGAAATACATGATAAACCAGGTACAGTTTCAAAAAGTATTTCGTTTCCCTAAATCATATAAACTCTGCCACCCAAATATCAGTGCCTCTAAGGATATATTTACATGATAACATTTTAAAGAAACAATCAAAACTAAACCAAACCCATGGCCATCAAGTCAATTCTGACTCATAGTGATCCTATAGGACGGGATAGAACTGCCCCATAGTGTTTCCAAGGCTATAATCCTTACGGAAGCAGACTGCTGCATCTTTCTCCCATGGAGCAGCTGGTTGGTTTGAACCGCCAACCTTTTGGTTAGCAGCTGAGTGCTCAACCAATGCACCACCAGGGCTCCTTAAAGATAGAATAATATAGTATATTTTGCTATATTTTAATATTTTTATTAATATCTTTGTAATAAATCTGAATAAATATATGTATTGATAGAATTTGCTGATTTGGGATTTTGACTCTAGTATAAAGGACTAGTAAAAAGACTTACTGAACGTATATTATTAACCAGGTATTCATTAGATAAATGAAATTTCTGTAATTTTTGAAAAGATAATGGTTTTTGATATCTATTTATAATCTTGCAGTGCACAGCCATATGTGGACATGGCTATCAGATGCGTGCTGTTAAATGTGTCAACGAGCTCTTTAGTGCAGTGTTAGATGACAGAGAGTGCGGTGGAGCTGGTCGCCCAAGTGACAGGCAGGTAAGGCAACCTCCTCATGGATTATAAACACGAAAGAGAGTTAGGATATAGGAGAATTAAAGATACATTAAAATTTTTTCTATATCCATTTTTTCCACTTAAACTTACAGACCTTAAAAATGTGTGTGTGTGTTTGTGTGTGTGTGTGCGTGTGTGTGAGAGAGAGAGAGAGAGAGTATTTATCGTTCTTGGTTTTGCCAGGTTTCTAACTTTAGTAATGACATTTTTTACTCTACTACCATTGGGTCACTCTTTTAACCTGCATATTTCCATATTTTGAACTGTAGAAGGCTAATATCTATTATTGTGAATATCATGAACCTCTAAAGTATGTTACACTTTTTAAGGTAGTGTTCTGTGTTTATTTAAAATGTTTCTGCTTAGTGATATTTTGAAAGACTATTACTCTTTTCCTGTTCAACTGTCATAAAGAATGATCCACACTTTAGGATTCAGACCTCTCGTGTCCACTACTAGCACTTGACAGTACTTTGTGCTTTTGAAAAGTAAAAACCTTTATATAATTTAGTATGCCACTATTCTTGAATTAGGCATATGGGAGAAGAAATGAAATATAGGATTTAGTATAAATCAGAGTGATTAATTAATTGATATTTTACAAGATCTATTTTCTTTCGAACAGGACTGTATAGTTACACTGTGCCCAATTATCCCTAAAACTGGAGCTAGTTCATTACCTGCTCTTCCTATGGAGAAGATAGCACAATGGCGATATGGTTCTTGGACCCCAGTAAGTGAATTCCCTTAAGAGATGCAGTGTTTCTATTATGAATTTTTTTAGAGATCAGCAAAATGGTTGCTACAGATTTTCAAAATTAATGTATGTATTTATCTTCAGGTAATTTGATGGTTTGGAAGAAAGATGGGGTTTAGAATCAGGTTATTTAATTGCTCAATCCTGCTCTGCCTTTCAAGAGCTCTGTGACTCTGGAAATTTTAAGTTTTCTGGGCCTATTTTCTAATCTGCAAAATGGGATGATAATAATACTTATGTCACAAGTTTGCTGTGAAGAGCAGACCCAATATTAAGCTTTTATCGACTTTTGTTTAAACTACTATATTAGTTTCGTAGGGCTAGTGTAACAAAATACCACAAACTAAGTGGCTTGTAGGAACAGAAATTTATTGTTTCACAGTTCTGGAGGCTAGAAGTCCAAATCAAGGTATTGGTCTTATAGATTCCTTGTGAAGGCTCTGAGAGAGTAACTGTTCCATGCCTCTCTCTAGCTTCTGGTAGCTCCAGATGTTCCGTGGCTTGCAGCTGCAGTGTCACATGGTGCCCTCCCCTGTCTCTGTGTCTCTTCTCTTTTATAAGGACACCAGTCATATAGGATTAGGACTAACCCTCCTCCAGTATGACCTCATGTTAACCTGATAACATCTTCAAAGACCCTGTCACATTCACAGGTACAGAGGTTAGGTCTTCAACATACCTTTTTGGGGGGACACAATTCAATCCATAATAACTACCAGCATTTTCAATTTGTTTTTCTAAACTGACAGCTTTAATGTATTGGCATATGTATTTTGCTTTAATCTTGTGTGGAATATATATTTTAAGCTTTGCATATTCTATAAATATTTTAATTATGGGATCATACTTTATCTGTTAGATCTTTCAATGCTATTTTTGACTATATCCTAAGATACTCTTATATAAAACGTTTTTCAGTATCTTTAATTTTGACAAATAACTAAGTATCATTTTAAGAATGTAACTGTTTCGTCCTTATTATCCCAAATCTCTAATGTGTGAAATTTATGTTCTAAACTGAATGGGATATTCGCTACCCCTATCTTTGAGTCAGATGTCATGCCAGGTGATATTATTTATAATTTAAGTTTCTCAAGAAACTTGGTATTTTAGAAATTTGAGAAATAGCTGTGGAATAGGGAAGTGGGAGAAATACTGTATAATGTCTTGGTATAATGATTTTCTTTGTAAGTGCTCCGTGTCTTGTGGAAGAGGCAATCAAGCTCGCTATGTAAGCTGTCGTGATGTTCATGATGGAATAGCAGATGAATCATATTGTGCCCATTTACCCCGACCTCCTGAAATATCTGTCTGTTTTAGCCCTTGCGGGGAATGGCAAGCAGGGAGCTGGTCACCTGTAAGTATTCTTATAAGAAAAGGAAATTAAAATTTTAAATATAATATTTAAAAAATATTCATGTAGTGTATTACATTATAAATATTGGATAAACTTTTCATCAGTGTTCAGCATCCTGTGGCAATGGAAAAACAACTCGACAAGTTTTATGCATCAACTACCATCAGGAGATTAATGAGGATTACTGTGACCCTGAAGTTCGCCCTTTAAGAGAACAAGAATGTAACCTGGCAGCCTGCCCACCCACATACAGCCACTTTCCAGGTTCCTCTGAACAGCCAAGCCATTCTCCAGGCAGAAATTTTCCATTAACTCACAAACCAGAAGATAATCAAAATCTGGGGTTCCATCCATCAATCAGAGGAAACCAATGGAGAACAGGACCATGGGGATCAGTAAGATATTTTATTGAGTTATATTAATTCTGTCATTTGATTATATTATAGCCTCATAACAGATATGTGTTTAATGATGTCAAATGCATTTAATGCTAAATTTATCTGAAGATCAGTAGTTTAAATTCTAGAAGTATTAAGCAATACTTGAGGCAGATTACAAATTCTTATAATTCTTTTTATTTTTTTAAATTGTGCTTTAAGTGAAAGTTTACAGTTCAAGTTAGTTTCTCATACAAACATTTATACATACATTGTTATATGACCCTAGTTGTTCTCCCTATAATGTGACAGCACACTCCTCCTTTCCACCTGAATTTCCCATGTCCATTCAACCAGCTCCTGTCCCTTTCTGCCTTTTCATCTCACCTCCAGACAGGAGCTGTCCATTTAGTCTCATGTATCTACTTGAGCTAAGAAGCACTCTCTTCACTAGTATCATTTTATGTCTTATAGTCTAGTCTAATCTATGTCTGAAGAGTTGGCTTCAGGAATGGTTTCAGTTCTGGGCTAACAGAGTCCGGGGGCCATGTGTTCTGGGGTCCCTCCAGTCTCAGTTAGATCATTAAGTCTGGTCTTTTTACTAGAATTTGAGTTCTGCACCCCACTTTTATCCTGCTCCATCAGGGACTCTCTGTTGTATTCCCTGTCATGGCTGTCATTGGTGGTAGCCGGGCACCATCTAATTCTTCTGGTTCAGGCTGATGGAATCTTTGGTTTATGTGACCCTTTCTGTTTCTGGGCTAATGATTTCTTTGTGTCTTTGGTGTTCTTCATTCTCCTTTGCTCCAGGTGGGTTGGGACCAATTGATGCATCTTAGATGCTCTCTCTGTAGCTTTTAAGACCCCAGATGCCACTCACCAAAATTGGATGCAGAACATTTTCTTAATAAACTTTGTTATGCCAATTAACCTAGATATCCCCTAAAACCATGGTCCCCAGACCCCTGCCCCTGCTACTCTGTCCCTCAAAGTGTTTGGTTGTCTTCAGGAAACTTAGCTTTTGGTTTAGTCTAGTTGTGCTGACTTCCCCTCTATTGTGTGTTGTACTTCCCTTCACCTAAGATAATTCTTATCTACTATCTAGTTAGTGAATACCCCATCCCTCCCTCCCCACCCTCGTAACCATCAAAGAATGTTTTCTTCTGTGTTTAAACCTTTTCTTGAGTTCTTATAATAGTGGTCTCATACAATATTTTTCCTTTTGTGACTGACTAATTTCACTCAGCGTAATGCCTTCCAGATTCACACATGTTATGAGGTATTTTTGTGGATTCATAGTTGTTCTTTATCGTTACATTGTATTCCATTGTGCGAATATACCATAATTTGTTTATCCATTCATCTGTTGATGGGCCCCTAGGTTGTTTCCATCTTTTTGCTATTGTGAACAGTGCTGCAGTGAACATGGGTGTGCATATATCTAATTGTGTTGACAGCTCTTATTTCCTGAGAATATATTCCAAGGAGTGGGATTGCTGGATCTTATGGTTCTTCTGTTTGTAGCTTTTTAAGTATGTGCCAAATTGATTTCAAAGTGGTTGTACCATTTTACATCCCTACCAGCAGTGTATAAGTGTTCCAGTCTCTCCACAACCTCGCCAACATTTATTATTTTGTGTTTTTTGGATTAATCCTAGCCTTGTTGGGGTGAGATGGTATCTCATTGTAGTTTTGATTTGAATTTTTCTAATGGCTAATGATTGTGAGAATTTCCTCATGTATCTGTTAGCCACCTGAATGTCTTCTTTGGTGAAGTGCCTATTCATGTCCTCTGCCCATTTTTTAATTAGGTTAGTTGTCTTTTTGTTGTTGAGGTTTGCAGTATCTTATAGATTTTAGAGATTAGATTCTGATCAGATTTGTCATAGCCAAAATTTTTTTCGCAGTCCGTAGGTCATCTTTTTACTCTTTTGGTGAAGTCTTTCGATGAGTATAGGTGTTCGATTTTTAGGAGCTCCCAGGTATCTAGTTTCTCTTCTGGTGTTTGTGCATTGTTAGTAATGCTTTGTATTCTGTTTATGCCATGTATTAGGGCTCCTAGCATTGTCCTATTTTTTTTCCATGATATTTATTGTTTTAGATTTTATATTTAAGTCTTTGATCCATTTTGAGTTAGTTTTTGTGCATTGTGTGAGGTATGGGTCTTGTTTCATTTTTTTAAAGATGGATATCCACTTACACCAGCAGCATTTGTTAAAGAGACCATCTTTTCCCCAATTAATGGACTTTGGGCCTTTGTCAAATATCAGCTGCTCATAGGTAGATGAATTTACGTCTGCATTCTCAGTTCTTTTCCATTGGCCTGTGTGTTTGTTGTTGTACCTGTTGTAGGCTGTCTTGACTACAGTGGCTGTGTAATAGATCCTAAAATTAGATAGTGTGAGGCCTCCCACTATGTTCTTCAGTAATGCTTTACTTATCCAGGTCCACTTCCCTTTCCATATAAAGTTGATGATTTGTTTCTCCATCTCATTAAAGAAGGCCATTGGAATTTGGATCGGGATTGATTGTATCTGTAGATCGCTCCGGGTAGAGTATACATTTTCACAATGTTGAGTCTTCCTATCAATGAGCAAGTATGGTTTTCCACTTATGTAGGTCTCTTTTGGTTTCTTGCAGTAGTGTTGCATAGTTTTCCTTGTATGGATCTTTTACGTCTCTGGTTAGATATATTCCTAAGCACTTTATCTTCTTGGGGGCTATTGTAAATAGTATTGATTTGGTGATTTCCTCTTCGAAGTTCTCTTTGTTGGTGTAGAGGAATCCAACAGATTTTTGTATGTTTATCTTGTATACTGATTCTTTGCTGAACTCTCCTATTAGTTCCAGTAGTTTTCTTGTGAATTCTTTGAGGTTTTCTGTATAAGATCATATTATCTGCAAATAGAGATACTTTTACTTCTTCCTTACCCATTTGGATGCGCTTTACTTCTTTTTCTAGCCTAATTGCGCTGGCTAAGACCTCTAGCATTATGTTGAATAAGAGCGGTAATAAAGGGCATCCTTGTCTGGTTCCCATTTTCAAGGGGAATGCTTTCAGACTGTCTCCATTCAGGATGATGCTGGCTGTTGGCTTTGTATAAATGCCCTTTATTATGTTGAGGAATTTCCCTTCTATTCCTATTTTGCTGAGAGTTTTTATCACGAATGGGTGTCGGACTTTGTCAAATACCTTTTCTGCATCAATTGATGAGATCATGTGGTTCTCGTCTTTTGTTTTATTAATGTTATGGATTACATTGATTGTTTTTCTAATGCTGAACCATCCCTGCATACCTGGTATGAATCCCACTTGGTCATGGTGAATTAATCTTTTGATATATTGTTGAATTCTATTGGCTAGAATTTTGTTGATGATTTCTGCGTCTATGTTCATGAGAGATATTGGTCTGTAATTTTCTTTTTTTCTGGTGTTCTTTACCTGGTTTTGGTATCAGGGTTTTGTTGGCTTCATAGAATGAGTTTGGGGGTGTTCCATCCTTTTCTATGCTCTGAAATACCTTTAGTAGTAGTGATGTTAACTCTTTTCTAAACGTTTGGTAGAATTCTCTAGTGAAGCCCTCAGGGCCAGGGCTTTTTTTTGTTGGCAGTCTTTAAATTATGTTTTCAATCCCTTCTTTTGTTATAGGTTTATTTAGTTGTTCTACCTCTGTTTGTGTTAGTTTAGGTAGGTAGTGCATTTCTAGAAATTTGTCCATTTCCTCTAGGTTTTCAAATTTGTTAGAGTATAATTTTTCATAGTATTGTTATGATTCTTTTAATTTCAGTTGGGTCTGTGTTGTTATATCGCCTGTCTCCTTTCTTATTCGGATTACTTGCTTTCTCTCCTGTTTTTCTTTTGCTTTCTCTCCTGTTTTTCTTTTGTCAGTTTGGCCAGTGGATTATCGATTTTGTTGATCTTTTCAAAGAACCCGCTTTTGGTCTTCTTAACTCTTTTAATTGTTCTTCTATTCTCTGTTTCATTTAATTCTGCCCTAATTTTTATTATTTGCTTTCTTCTGGTGCCTGCGGGCTCTTTTTGTGGCTCACTTTCTATTTTTTCAAGTTGTAGGGTTAACGTTTTGGTTTTGGCCCCTTCTTCTTTTTGAATGTGTGCATTTATTGCTATAAATTGATCTCTGAGGATGGCTTTTGCTGTGTCCCAAAGGTTCTGGTAGGATGTGTTTTCATTCTCATTTGATTCTGTGAGTTTCTTTATTCCATCCATAATTTCTTTTATAACCCAGCAGTTTTTTGAGCAAGGTGTTGTTCAGTTTCCATGTGTTTGATTTTTTTTTCCTTGCTTTTTCTGTTACTGATTTCTACTTTTATGGCTTTATGGTCAGAAAATATGCTTTGTAATATTTCGATGTTTTGGATTCTGTTAAGACTTGCTTTATGGCCTAATATGCGGTCTGTTCTGGAGGATGTTCCATGTGTGTTGGAAAAGAAAGTATACTTGGCTGCTGTTGAGTGAAATGTGCTGTATATGTCTATGAGATCAAGTTGATTGATTTTCTGTGTCTTTATTGTGCTTCTTTCTGGATGTTCTGTTCTTCACCAAAAGTGGTGTGTTGAAGTCCCCTACTATTATTGTGGAACTGTCTATCTCTCTTTGCAATGCTGTTAGAGTTTGTTTTATGTATTTTGGAGTTATGTATTTGGTGCATAAATATTTATCATGGTTATGTCCTTCTGGTGTATTGACCCTTTTATCATTATATAGTGTCTTTCCTTATCCTTTGTGGTGGATTTTACTTTAAAGCCTATTTTGTCAGAGGTTAATATTGCCATTCCTGCTCTTTTTTGATTGTTGTTTGCTTGATATATTTTTTTCCATCCTTTGAGTTTTAGTTTGTTAGTGTGTTTAAGTCTAAGATGTGTCTTTTGTAGGCAGCATAGAGATAGATCATGTATTTTTATCCATTCTGCCTCTCTCCATTTCTTTATTGGTGCATTTAGTCTATTAGATTCAGTGTAATTATTGATAGGTATGAGTTTAGTGCTGTCATTTTGATGCCTTTTTTTGTGTTGTTGACAGTGTCTTTGTTCTACTTAATTTTCTGTGCTGAGTCATTTTTCTTTATGTATTTTCATCTTTTTCATTGTTGATTTTGTAGTTGCTGAGTCGTTATGTTTTTCATGTTTTTTATTTTGATTTGTAGGATTGTTAGTTTCCTTTGTGGTTACTTGAATTTACCCCAATTTTTCTAAGTTTAAACCAATCTTGTATTTCTTTATATCGCTGTGACTTCCTTTCCATGTGAAAAATCTATGACTATGTTTTTTTTAGTCCTTAATGTCATCATCTTTTACATACTGACATCTCTGTTTCCCTATTTACAGTGTTTTAGCTTTGATTATTTTTGTGACTTCCCTGTCTGATTCATATCTGGTTGCTCTGTCCTGTGTTCTAGTCTTGGGTTGTTATCTGATATTATTGATTTTCTAACCAGAGGACTCCCTTTAGTGTTTCTTATAATTTTGGTTTGGTTTTTACAAATTCCCTAAACTTCTGTTTATCGGGAAATGTCCTAATCTCACCACCATATTTGAGAGACGAGTTTACTGGGTATATAACTCTTGGCTGGGAATTTTTTCCTTCAAGGCTTTATATATGTCATCCCATCGCCTTCTTGCCTGCATAGTTTCTGCTGAGTAGTCCGAGTCTAGTCTTATTGACTCTCCATTGCAGATGACTTTTTGTTGATCCCTAGCTGCTCTTAAAATTCTCTCTTTATCTTTGGTTTTGGCAAGTTTGATTAGAATGTGTCTTGGTAACTTTTGTTTGGGATCTACCTTGCATGGGGTTCAATGAGCATCCTGGATAGATATCTTCTCATCTTTCACAATATCAGGGAAGTTTTCTGCCAACAAATCTTCAACAATTCTCTTTGTATTTTCTGTTATCCCCCCCTTTCTGGTACTCCAGTCACTCGTAGGTTATTTCTCTGACAGAATCCCATATAATTCTTTGGATTTCTTCATTTTTTAAAATTCTTTTATCTGATTTTTCCTCAAATGAGTTTCTGTCAAGTCCTCTATCTTCAATCTCACTAATTCTGACTTCTAATGCCTCAGTTCTGCTCCTGTGACTTTCTATTGAGTTGTCTAATTCTAAAATTTTATTGTTAAGCTGTTGGATTTCAGTTTGCTGTCTCTCTATGGATTCTTGCAGCCTGTTAAATGTGTCATTATGCTCTTGTATAACCTTCTTAAGTTCCTCTATTGCTTTGTCATGTGTTCCTTGGCTTATTCTGTGTCTTGCTTGATCTCCTTCCTGATCTTTTGAAGAGCTCTGTATATTAATCTTTTGAAATCTACCTCCAGTAATTCCAAGCAGTTCTCTTCCTCCTGAAGGTTTCTTGAATCTTTCTTTTGGGAGCTTGCTGAAGCTGGCATGGTTTGCCTCTTTATGGGATTTGATATTGACTGTTGTCTTCTTGCCATCAATAAGTTACTATATTTATTTATTTTTGTTTGCTTACTGTGTCCTAGCTTCTTGTTTTGTTTTGTTTTGATATGCCCAAATACTCTACTCGTGTGAGCTAGTTTGATTATTGACGTCTTTGAAGCTCTCATATCCTGTCTCCAGGTGGCTAGACCTATTACTAGGTATGTGAGCCCAGGAGTCTGTTTACTTTTCTTGTATGAATTCAGCTCAGGTGTCCAGATAGTAGGTCACCAAGTGTGTGGTGCAGGCTCTTACCTACAGTCCTAGACAGGCAGGGGTGATTGATGTGTGCACAGGTATCTGGCTGCAGTAGGGGTTGACACGCTGATCAAGGAAGGAGGCTGACGGTGCCCCGAGTGCCTGGGAGGAAAGCGTGTCCCTGTTTGCTAACGCACATAGGTGGATGGGTTTTGCAGCTGGACTATGGGCACCCATTGCTGTTGGCTGGAAGGACTGGGAGTCACCACTTATTCCTGGATCCTTGTTGCAGGTGGCTAGATGGTGTGAGTGGAGCCACCAGTCCTCAGGCCCCTGATGTGGGTAGGTGAGGACCCTGCTTAAAGAGCAAACTGTTATCAAATGTCACAAACCTGCCACTCTACCATATACCTGATACAGTGAAGTTAGGCTTCAGGTATATACCCTGTTGTACTGTGGTAATGAGGGCATATGCTGTTGAAATGGGCCCACAAAGGTCTATGCAGCGGTGAAGGTGCTGAAAGCCCATGGACCCCTTATGCCTGTGCCTAGGCAAAGGAGCTGTGCCTGCCTTGAGTTCCTGGCTTAGGGGAGCTGGCAGATTATTTTTTCTATTTGTTACTTTGTTTCCTCTCCAAGGCTGGGAGAATGGCTCAGGGTGCATAACAGTTCCTTCTTCCGGCTCAGGGTGCATAACAGTTCCTTCTTCCGGCCCAGGGAACAGGGCAATTGCTGAAGCTGGCCCAGTACCTGGTGCAGACTGGGGAGGAGGCAGGTAAACGGGAGAGAGGTTTTCCCAAATGGGGTATTTTTTGACCTGGCTAGTGGGTTAGATGCATGTATTTATCTTTCCCTGATTGAGTGCTGCTTTTCACTGGCTCTGGAGGCTGGAGTAGACTCTCTGCCACTTGGTCTCTCCAGATGTGGAAAATGTATCCCGAACACTACTACTTGCCTCACCGTGCATGCCAGACAACCTGGCCTGCAGGATGCCAATTCCCGCCGGGTCAGGTCTGGCAACTCCTTGCTGGTTCCAAACTGTCTCTCCTTCTCCCCTGCCACTCAGTCCAATTCTTCAACTTTGTCTTTGATGTTCAAGGCTCCTAGATTGTCATTATAATCGATTTACTTGTTTTTTCAGGTCTTTGTTGTAAGAGGGACCACAGAAAGCGTCTGACTACTCTGCCATCTTGGCCCCGCCTCCTCCCAAATTCCTATAATTGTTACCAAATTATAGAATAATGTGACATTATGACTACAATGTAATGTACTTAAAAATGATCTGATTAGAGTCCATTAGAATACAAACAAAAGAAAACCTTTTAAGAGGTAAAACTGCAAATGTTTATGAAAAAAAATCAAAACCAAAAATTTGTAATATAGCAATACAGTAAGCTGGTGTAAAATCATGATGAACTAATGAACTACAAAAGGTACAATTGTAGTTCATATTTTATATCAGATTAATGGCACAAAATAAAAGCTCCAAAGTTAAATAACTGAACGCTATCTTTTATTTTCTGTTCCTTCCTTGTGAGACCTTAAAAGTTCCATTCCTTTTCCCTAACACTTACGACAAGAGTGAAAAGTTATTTTATCAACAAATTCTAATGAAGCTGCCGGTAACACTCAAGTGTTTTGACAGATTTTCTTGATTCAACCTGTGATTTCAATAGGGAAGATTTTAACATAGAGTTTGATTTTTGGTTCAATCAACGTACCTATTTTTTTCCCCATGTAATTTCATGATATGGAAACTGCAGTTTGTGTGTATGTTTGTGCTTTATCCTTGTCAGTGTTCTAGTAGTTGTGCCGGAGGTCTTCAGCATAGAGTTGTGGTGTGCCAGGATGAAAATGGACAGAGTGCCAGTTACTGTACTGCAGCCTCCAAGCCCCCAGAGTCAAAGCTCTGTGATTCAGGACCTTGTCCACGATGGAACTACGGCAGCTGGGGAGAGGTAAGTCATAATACTTCTTAAACTTGTGGAGACTGTGATTTCTCTGAAGTGTAAAAGTTAAGCATTTCATATTGTTAGGTAATCTTACTTCACTATACTCTAAAGAAAGATTTGTTTTTTAATTCAGTGATTAAAACCACATTGCTTTGATAGATATTCTTCACCTTATAAGTCACTCATTCATATTGTTGGAACCGTATAGTGTGTAGCTTTTTCAGACTGGCTTCTTTCACTTAGCAATATGTACTTAAGGTTCCCCCATGTCTTTGCACACCTTAATAGCTCATTTCTTTTTATTGCTGGATAAAAAGAAATGGACTGTATGGATGTACCACAGTTTGTTCACCTACTGAAGAACATTTTGGTTACTTCCAATTTTGGGGCAATTGTGAATAAAGATGCTGTAAACATTTTTGTGAAGGTTTTTATGTGGGCATACGTTTTTCATTGCATTTTGGCAAATACCTGGGAGCATGATTGCTGGATGGTATGGTAAGACTAGCTTTGTAAGAAACTTCCACAGTGTTTTCCAAAGTGGCTGTACCATTTTTCATTTCCACCAGCAATGAATGAGAGTTCCTGTTTCTCCACATCCTCAATAGCATTTGGTGTTGTCAGTGTTTAGATTTTAGAATGCTAATAAGTGTATAGTGGTATCTCATTGTTTTAATTTGCAATTCCCTAATGATCAATGATGTTGAGAATCCTTTGTTTATTTGTTACCTAACAAAAAACAAATAAACAAAAATACGTTGCCATCAAGTCGCTTCCAACTCATAGCGACCCTAGAGAACAGAGTAGAACTGCCCCATTGGATTTCCAAGGAGCGGCTGGTGGATTTGAACTGCCAACCTTTTGATTAGCAGCCAAGCTCTTTACCACTGTGCAACTAGGGCTCCACCTGTTACCCAGGGAGGAATATTAAGAATTGTGCAAAAATGATAAAATTTAAACTTTGATTTAGTGTAAGCAATATAATTTTCTCTCTAATTCCACATAATTTTGTATTTTCCCATTCTTGTTTTTAGTGTACACAAACATGTGGAGGAGGAATAAAATCAAGATTCGTAATATGTCAGTTTCCCAATGGCCAAATGTCAGAAGAGCAAAACTGTGAAATCTTAAACAAGCCACCTAGTGTGACACAATGTCATGTGCATGCTTGCCCTGATGATGTTTCATGGCATCGGGGACCATGGAAATCGGTACGATAGTATTCTTATTCTTTTGTTTTGTTTTACTATGTCCCTTTTACTTTAAATGTCTCTCTTTATAAATTGTGAAATCCATGTGCTATACTTTCTCTGATTTATTTTTAAGAAGACCGTTGGCTGTCTTGGCTTGTGCTGTTAAATTTGATAGTTTGGAAGCATTATCCGTTCAACTTCAAGTACTGTAATATATATGTATATATATATACATACATACATATATATGTATATATATAGTTTTATATGTATTTATATTTTTATATGTAAATTTTGGACCACAGTACTATTCTAATGGACCTATTTTTCTCCATTTCATCTTTGACTTGCCCTCTAATCAATCAGGAATGTTTTATTATTTACATTTGTATATATTGTTAATATTGTGCATATGACAATGGCAAATTAAGGCTGTGTCTTGTTTGACCCTATAACTTTATGTGGCTTTTGTCTGTCAGTGTCTAACAACTGATCCAAAACCAAGTAAAGTTCTTTAAACCTTTGTTTTTATCATTGTTAAACTCAGTGTTTTGTTTGGAGTGTGAAAATATTATATTAAAGAAAAGATAGAGAAATTTACTTACATAAAGTACATTAATTGTTTACAGCTTGTCACATACATCATTGAAGAGTATGATTTTTATAATAATTTATATGTATATTCATTTCTTCCACTGTGTGGAGTTACTGTGCTTTGGGGTTATTTTAATTTTTGTTTTGTTACTTGTTGGGAGCCATAGACAAAATTTATAAATATTGTTCAGGAATGGTTTATTATCTCCAGCATTCTCGAAACATCCAGGCTTTGAGGAATAATTAATACGTAAATTGATTGAAATTTGCAATATGGTCACCTTTAAACTTTTAAATCATGAACAGCCAAGTTCACTTCTTACAGATGAAAAACTGGTTTGAGTCTAAAATTTATGTATAATTAAATTTATAAACAGTTTTTTAGTGGAAAATAATTACAGCCCTAGTTTTATAACCAGCCCTTGTTGTCTGTACTTGTATTGTTTTGCCCAAATCATACCTTTTCCATGAGACTTGGATTTACATAGCATGGTAAAGATTTGATTTGGGCGAAAGTAGGTCAAGTTCAGGTTCAGGCTGAAATTCATCTTTATAGTCAGTGTGACTGATGATATAAAGAAACAAAATGTTTTTATTTTATAGAAAATCTTAAAGTAAAATTGCTGCTTGAGAGGATCACTTTGTGGGAAATAACAAAAACATATTTTGCCATAAAAAGCATTCATATATTTGCTTAACAGATGTTTCTTGAGCATCTGCTATACCCTAGGCACAGTGCTACAGAAATAATTAAGACATATTTCTTACTCCCATGGAGTTTACAGTCTAGTTGGGGAAATTTGAAATGCTGTAGGAACTCACCATAAAAAGAGATTATTTTTTGTTTGCAGTTATAGATTGGAAATTCACTTACTCCTTACTACATCTATGTTCTGTCATTTCATTCGTTTTAGTTTGCAAGCCTGATTCTTAATGAGGTTATGGATTGCCTTCTTGGAATTTTGCCCCAGTTAGAAAAGTAGAATTCTAATCTCTAGAGATTGACTTATAATTGCGTTTGTCTCTGAGCACAAAGGTTATATTTCCCCCTACTCATTCATGACTTCATTAATTCATAAAGAATTAAATATTTACCATGTCTCCTGCTTTCTTCCAAGAATTGAAGTACCTAGAATGAAATGTTTTTGAGTTAGATGTTCTATTTCAGGCTTCAGCAAACTATGGGCTGTGGACCAAGTCTGGCCCACAGCCTATTTTTATGAATCAGTTTTATTGGAACACAGCCAGGTTCATTTGTTTACGTATCGTCTATGGCTGCTTTTGCACTACAGTGACAGAGTTGAATAGTCGCAATAGAGACTCTATAACCTGTAAAGCCTAAAATATTTACTACCTGGCCCTTTACAGAAAAAGCTTGCCAACCCCTGTTCTATTTGATAAACATTGTAATGCTTTTAAAATTCAACATAAAAATTTACATAAAGTTGTAGAATATTAAGATTACAAATATCCCTTTTGGATCAGTTTTAGATGTTTTTGATCCTTTGTTTTGTATTTTAAAACATCTTAAGGTTATCAACCTTCTCTACGTATTCAGTATGGTATTCTCAAAGTGCTTATATATTGAGTTGGAATATGTCTAATACCACATTCCAATATATTTGTGTCATGCCATTTTTTGTATGTAAATGATGTTATAAGTGAAAAAACATGAATGTTCATTAGAGTCCTTTGCATAGATAACTTCTTAAATCTTGCAGAAACAAATGATCAAGAAAATATTAATAACCACAAATTATAAAATAGTAAGATGAAAGTACAGAATTCTTCATTGTTTAATACATGTCTGTTCCAAAAGAAGTTCATGGAAGAATTTAGTCTTTGCACTAGTGGAAGAAATGTAATTTATTTTTTTAATAAATTACAGATGTAATTTTTTAATATCACGATAAATTTTTATATCAGAATTTTTACAAACTTATTTATTTACTTTTTGTGTGTGTAAAGTACATATATATCATTAGGATGTCTTGATTTCTTTTATTATATGAAGAATATTTATTCCTTAAATTACCCTTTTATATTAAAAGGCTTTAAGGGATCTAAGTTTTGTTGTCAAAACCAGATACAACTTTTTACCTCTTTCAGTATTGCGGCCTGTTAGCCAAACTTCAGAATACCTCTTATTAACATATCAGGTTAATATTCTTTCATGGATAACCTTAATGTCAACAGATCCTGTCACTAAGTTAGAAAGTTAAAAACATATATGTATATATACATATATATGAATGACTTGAAATCTCAGAAACCAAGTTTTTCATTTTAATGCAAAATTAAAATATGAAGTGCTAAATCATTTTAAAATATTAGGAAGAAAGTTGTAAGCATACATTTAAATTTGCTAAATGTTTTGGAAAATCTCATCCTGTAATAACTAATAAGCATGATTAAAAAAAGGAATAAGTAAACATTAATCCATGTCTGTTAATTTAATGACTATATTTTTGTGCCTAGTCAATGTGAAACAATTGTATTTTAACTCTCGTTTATTTGACATGTGTTGTGGTTTTGTGCTTTGCATAATTCATATGTATGTTTTATTTTTACTCCTTGGATCTTACTAAAATGTTTTAAGTCACTGAACAGATACTGTATTGTAATGAATGCCTCCTTCTCTTGCTGGTATTTTTCTTAAATAACAAATAGTTACTTCCTCTTATTAAACATTTGATTATTGAATAGTGTGTGTTTTCATACTTTTACTTAGTATAAGCTACTACTATTTTCCAGATTATATTTTTGTTAGAAAGAAACTAACATTGGGATTTAAACTATAAGATTTATTGCTTAGCTTTCAATTTTTAAATACTAGAAAATTTTACATTTTTCTTTATATATAATAAACAATAAATAAAAAATTATGGTATGAAAAAGTTCTTAAATTAAAAATAGATGTGCTTATGACCAAGGTAGTCTTTAAAAGGTAAGTGAAAGTTTTATTTTTCTATTTTCTTGTATATATTAAGGGAAATTACATTTAACATAATAGAACTCTTAAAGCAAACGTTCTTTAAATAAATTTATATTAATCTATATGTAATTTTGCATCAAGTCTGATTTAAGAAGTGATTCATTCTTTTAGAATGTTTTTATTTCCTACATAGAATAAAGTCATATTTGGTAAGAAAATACATTTTGTTCCAGTGTGTTATGGAGGTAATAAGATTCAGCTGAAGAAAAAAAGACTATTTTTTCTTTTTACCTTGAAGATTATTTTTTCTCACAAAAAAGGGAAGTTTTTTTTAAAATGAAAGCTTGCCACTTACACCCTCTTGATTCTAGTTCTTTCCTCGAGACAGTTTCTTTTAAAAAATGAAATGCTCTGCTATAGCATTGTGCAGAAAAATACATATTATTCTAAATCTCCAATATGATGGAATGGAATGCAACAAACAGAAACACTTTCAGAAATTAGCCTATGGCAGCAGCAGCAGCACACACCCAGTAAATCTGAAGTTTGTCACTAACAGCTTTGTTGAAACAAACACCGAGAATCTGAATAGAGGGATTGGGATGGTTCTACTGTAGCTCCCACTCGATGAAATTCACTCAGGAAAAAACTTTTTACTTTACTCCTAAGGCCAGCAGCAGCCAGAAGAACAAGGTAATTGCAGGGAAGTGGTTTCAAGAGACTGTCAATTCCATATTTTGACTTTGTAAGGTGGAGTGTTCCATAAAAACATTTATAGTAATCAGTTATTAAATTTGAAAACACATATAAGCATTTTAATAGGATGGAAATCTATTTTATTCTAAATTCATCATAGACATATCTAACTATTAATAAGTATTTCAACAGAGTATTTCCACTTATTATGTTTGTTACCGTATCCTGCCGAGGGTCATTCATTGATTCTCCCAAAAGTCATGAGCATCTATGTGTGAGATACTCTGCTAGTCATTAGAGGTAAACCATGCACAACCTCTATGTAGAAGAAGTTGATAGTTAAGTGATTAATGTACTAAATAAACATGATTAGAATGCAGGGTGGAATTTCTGTCTCATTTTGGTAACAACCATGTGTATTATAATATTGAATACTCATATTATTTGGGATCTAATAGGTTAGAAAAATGCAAGAACTAGTAATGAGGATTGTACGTGACAACAAAATAATTCTGCCAGAAGAGTCTCCTAGAAAGCTTAAACTAGTCGGATACATTCCATCATAAACTGGAAAGAGATGAATGGTGTCCTAAGTCCCCGCCATAGGAGAATAGTTTAGTCTTTGCATAATTGCAGCCTCCTCCTTCACTGCCCACGAGTCTTTCATGCCTCAGCAAGAGGAAGAACGAGGATGGACGTACAGTTTGCCCTAGATGTGATGCTTTGAAAATAATGTTGGAGATACACGTGGACCTTGCAGGTTTGATATGTATGACCTAGCAAAAATTTAGGT